GTGTTATATAGTATAGAATGAAGTATAAACACGGAATTAATTACTCTTCGTCTAAATGTGCTAATGAAATTACACTCTAAAAATAAATTTATTGATTGGTTTAATCTACTGTATATATGGGATACTACGCTAAAACTCTTATTATTTGATTGTAAACAACTTTTATATAACAAACTTATCATAATATTTTCTAGCCTCCTTAATTTTTATTCGGATTTCTGCTATTAATATTGCAAAAATATTGTGAAGTAATCAAAGGGTTTTTATTGCATAAGTATGAAGCATTAAAAATATTATGAAATTTTGATATTTTAATAATGTTAAACATTACAAAGCATACACGGCTTTGTCCCACTATATTATTACTCAATATCCAAAACCCTGTAGATATATGATGAGGGGAAAATTAGGTCCAAAATATAGCACTTTATAATTACTCTATAGATTATGTGAGCCCAAACAAACAAGATTTAAATATTCACATCTATTAAAAGCCATATGGAAAATTTAATCATATTTCGCTTCTTTTACACTTTGACACTTAAACTCTAATAAGTTTTTAAACTAATTATGAGAAGATAATAAGGAAAACAATTAGGAAAAACAGGCTTTTTAAATTATTTTGAGAAGTCAATATTTGTTGAATATATTATGTAAAAAAATAAAAATAAAATATGGCTTTTACCATTTATTTGTCAGAGCAACACATTTAGATTTATATAATCTAAGCCATAGCATTAGTTTACTAAATCAGTTAAGGTATAAGTAATGACTATTCCTAATATAGAAAATGCTTTGAATTAAATTACTAACTATTTTTTCACTTATAATTCATTTAGGTGATCGCGTAAGTAGAATTAATTGCGACAATAATCTAGAAGTGTTGTTTATAATACTCACAAAATAGTCAAAATAGTAAATTATGAAATATTCAAATTAATAAAAATAAATGTCAAATATTATCCTTTAAAGATATTTAGAAAATGGCCACAATCCATACGAAATTATTTGCTAACACGAGACCATATTTTACATTAATCAATATGACTTATAAAATTTTGAATACGTAAATTCTAGAAATATCTTACACAAATTGTTATTTTTAAAGTAATAAAAGGAAATAGCAACTATAATTTACTGCTATGCTATATATATTTATAGAAATGGCAATATAATGCATGATATTTGGCCCAACAAGTATAGATCAATTAATCCTTTGGCTTTTGTGATATACCCTTTCTTGTATTTTATTACATATGAAGTATACATTTAACAAAAAATTTATCTATTCAAGTGTGCCTAATGATTTCACATCTGCATAGCACAAATATGATAAAATTGTCAACCTAATGTCTACAAGGTTTCTTATATAAAATATTAGAGTATGCAGAGGACTAAATTCTGATAATTTCGGCATACATTATCAAAGGAATTATTCCATCCAGTGCTTAATTGTAATTTATTTATCTCATATAAAATTTGAGTTTGACTCTTACTATAACTGGTTTATTTAAAACTTAATGACTTTAAATATAAATACATAGAATCTCATTGATATACTCTCTTGATCCCTTTACAGAAGGCTCGCTTTACGCGCATACATATGGTTAAATCAGCGACAACTGCCGCTTTTATGGCAGGCAAGAAACGCGCCAAAGCACGCCACTGGCAACACGAGCATTTTGCTGCCAGAGATAGGCATATCCCACTTGATAATCCAGCATCTCCAGGTACAAATTTCATTAAATCTACGGTTAATAAAGACAACAGCAAACAAGGAGGAGCCACACATTCTATCTGCTTGCCTTCGCTGCCAAATAAATTTGAGGTACCACAGGACTATGTTGAAAACTCTGCAAGATCATCGGCGCCTAAAGATATAGGTACAATTACTGAATTCCAGTCAAACAAGGGCGCGGAAGTTGACATTATTCATAAAGAAATAGAAGAGGCTGAAACAATGATTGAAAATGTGAACAAAGGGCAAAATTTGATCTGTATTCCCAACAAACGCTGCATGTCATTGGCATCCAAAATTTCAGGACCGATGAGTAGAAGCAGGCTTCATGATATCGTCTCCCCCACCTTATCTGCCGAGTCACTCATTGGTATCAAACGACTAGTAGAAGATGTGCGGATAGATAAGAAATCTAGAGACAGGCAACTGTCGAGAAATTCATCTGGAAGAGAATCCCTTGAATCCAGTAATGAAGGAATATTCGAAGCGCAGCATTACCATCTCATTTCTTGCTTGGAAGAAGCCACAGTAAGTTGGGCTTCTTCTTATTACTACCATAAAATTCCAGTAAATTTTATTCTAAAAAAGGAATTTAAAAATCCGATATAAAATCATACATAGACAAGTAAAAGTATAAAGGACTTTAATCATTATTCTTTAAGTAATGTTCATCTTCATGCGTTTGATAGATTCTTTGAAAATCTAACACAGATTATTCTAACTTCTCACCAATTAATTTTTCGTTGATAAATATGTTCTCATGACTACTACTGTCAGTAAATATATATGCGATGTTTCCATCCTATTTCGATAAGCTCTCAAGGACCTACGTATAATCGAAAACTAAATAATGTAGTCGATTGCTATAGCAAATGCAACTGTACTTAATTCGCAATCTCACCACCAAATGTTAAATTAGATGATGCCTGGTCCTCCTTGAATTTCACATCTATCGTGTGACCCAAGGGCACTAGTAGTAATGTGGCATAGTTATATTCTGCCCTATCCTGGTTAGTGTCCCGTTGGGGATGTTGATAATACTAAGACGAGGTCGAAACTGCAGTCAATCCTGGGTGAGAGTAACTTTTCGAAGGCTATGTTAAATTCGATGGAGGTTTAAGGCTTACTCATATCTTTTAGGAAATCGAACTAACAATGCTTCATTTCCTCAAGAAAATATGGGGAATGACGCTCTCCAATTAAGCCATTAAATGTCTACTTTCTCTCCCATAAGCGACAACTTCAATACTATTCTTATAGCACACATCATATCATTCAAATATATTTGTACCTAAGCACTTTATCATCTCTCAAAACGTTATTGCAGAATATAGTGCAGAATCGAAAGCATGATTTGATTTTCTCAGCTATTTCTGTTGCTACTGCATAATAAAATAAAATATTATCAAAATATGTCACTTATATTAATACTTATTTCATTTTTGTGCATCTCTTGTAAATTCTTATTAAGTCATTTTGAGTTCATGGTTTACTATATCGAAAGCAGATTGTGTATTAAACGTGTTTATGATAGCCTCACCGAAAACCTTTAATTCTAATTAAACAAACAACAATATTAAAAAAAGGGGAGAACGACAGGATCAAGGAAATATTTTTAACAGTAGCCAAAGTAATCTAAGAAAAGGGGCTCTCTAGGGACAATCGCATATATCGAGAAGATGCCTGCAGTGGGACTAGTCAGCAAACGACGCAACAAGAACAAGGGACTGGAGAGTAGGGAAGTTAAGGCACTTATCATCGTGGATAGAAGCATGAGGCCAATTTTACATGAACTCCACTCGAAGAGGGCATTGGAATCCAAACAGAGTTGGTTCAATGTATACGGATTTTATCATAGATTAAGTAAATGAATAAAAGTCATTACCAATATATGTATGAGGTGCACAGGCCAAACTGAGATAATGGAAATTATAATCTTAATTTAATTTTTCATCCGACTTGAGAAACCTGGCTTTGGGAGCCTCTCAGTAAGGGTATAATATACGTGCTATTAAAGACTTTAGGTGGATCATGGAAAATAAAGCTCCAAAAAGTACATGTATGATGCTGTCAGGGATAGAAGTAAATCAGGGAACCGGAGAGATAAGAGATGGATCCTACAGGAAAAGAGAAGGACACTAATAAGAACTGGATGAAGTAGATTTCATACTAGAAGACAACATTGTATGAAATTTTTCAGTACAATGGAGGAGATAAGGAGACCAGAGAGGAGTCTTAATAGGCCTTACTAAATACGCTCAAAAGGGCACATCTGGACTAGGTCAAAAATATGCAATAGTATATATGAAGATCAAAATATTGTAGCCTCTGCTTTGGTTGTATTATCCTTTCGATTTAAAGAAGTGGCCTGATCTTGTTTTCGCAACTTGGCCGTGTTTTCAAAGAGACTTAATTGGACGCACCTCGTCCGAAGTCCTATGCCATAGTAGTTATGATAATTCCCAATGTACACCGTGGATTTGATACATTTAAATTATTTTCGCCTTCATCGTCAGTGAGTCTTGTCATTCTCAGAATCAAGCTACAACTTGTCGAAGATACCTTATTTGCGAAAGCGATTTTCAAGTTGAAGGTTGTGCTAATGAGATAATCGATGCAGAAATATGAGATAGGCAATTGTATCAAAACGAAATAAAAAATTCAAACAACTGTTCCATAGAAAATTGGCCGAGAGACGAACTTTACTTGTCTATATTATGAGTTGTAGTATAGTTCTAAAAAGTCGCAATGCTCACTGACGATGCCGACTATGATGCCAACAAAATAACTTGGAATATATGATGTTCATGGTCTGATGCTGGATATTTTCATGTCTATTAAGGAAGAGAAAATAGCGTTAATCTAGGTCGCCCTGCAAATATTATTAAGTTATGAAAACGAGATCAAACGACTTCTATACAAGCAAAAGAGACAGCAATGATAGTTACAAGTACGCCATTCTGGTCTCAATACCTAAAGTTTCACTAGAATAAAGTTTACACAGTTCTTTACTGAATTATGGCTGAATATAAGTAATGCTTCACTTGTCCTTATTTTCATCTATTAGTTACGCAGTAGCATAATCTTTCAATTACCAAGACATTATGCTTCAGGAACGTTATGCAAATTCATTGAATATATATGAGTTAAGGCATTGGATTTTATTTGCCATGTAGGCTAAATAGGCCTTTTTATCATAAAATTTTTCTTAAATTATTACCAATTATTCGGAATATATATCATTATAAAATGTACATAAAGACTTTGACCATATTATTCTGATTCCCATCGAATCACCTTTAAATATCTTATTTACAATACTATTATTTAGCTGTTGTCTCCTTTATTAACTTTTTAAATAATTCAATTTAATTTAAATATCCTCTAAAACATTTTAAAAAATAAAAGGGAAGTTTCATATAATACGGTCAAGTAGCAATTGAATGAACTAGTTTATACACTCCTTGTGCTCATAGGAAGTTGCCTAAAGCAAAGTTGCATGATGCCTGTTGATTAAGCAGCCACACACAAGAGATACTTTCGGAATAAACGTAAGCTATCCGAACCATATGATCACAGCTTTGATAATCGTAATTATTATCTCGAGTCTATAAATAGAAAAACTTTTAAAGCAATAAATATGAATGTTGAGATTACCTGAAAATAAATTCTAATTTATTTATTTTCATGGCAAAGGTCCATTAAGGGAGGTCATCTTAGATCAATGTCAGTGAGTTCAATAAATTTGGATTTTAACATGTTAACAGTAGTTTAAAGATTCTGGTTTGCACTATAAAGTGTTCTAATGCTCCCTGTCGGATGCAAGGCCTTGCGCTTAAAGGAAAATCCAGCAACCGGATCGGTATAGCTTATTGACGAATGCATCGCTTTCCTCATGATTATTATGACTTTATTCATCTGAAACATATGTCTGAAAGATATCTCTTTTTTAAAATGTCTGGCAAATTTTAATTACTAATCGAGCTATTGCAATATTTATCAATCAAATAGCCGAGATAAAATTGCAATATCTAATGATAATTCCAAAGCACACCTATAAGCGTTGCTATTGCTTTGGATGACAAATACAAGTTTGATAAGCGTCAATAACCCTATATATGTTAATTGGAAGATGCCTTCCGCTCTTTTAAATTTGTATTTGATCAGTGATCCACTAATATCCGTGGATGTGGCAGAGTGGGTACAGATAATTAAACTTAAAGTTATAGACCAGGTCTTTACTCCAGTTTGCTGTGAGATGAAACTTAGGTGAGGTTTAACTTGAAGTCCACTCTAGATGGGCAAATCTATTTGGAATAAAATCTAAGTAAAGTAGATGGATTTGTAAAACGTACAATTTTATTTTTTCAAATCAACAATCCGACTATACATCACCACATACCATCTATAATGACTAACTTTCTGATTCAAAATTAATATTATTTTGCAAGGTCTTTCCTTTATCTCTTTCTAAGTATATTTTAAGTCGTAGTAGAAAAACAACCTCTTATTTTTCCTAACATTAAGAAATTCCCGATGACACTAGATTAGATAAATTATATCCAAACATGTCAGGTATAATTTAGAGCCTTCTTTATAAAACGAAAGCATAATAAGTGAAGAGACAATAACTAATTGAGCTAATTCTGTCTGATACGTCATAAGCTAATGCCGTTAAATTAGAAATAGGGGGTAATGAAGAAGTTCAATGTATTTTTAACGCATTTAAAACAATTTAAAATTCCTCTAAGTATGACTAAGCGTTAAATTTTGAGAAGTACTCCGATAA